TTATAACGATATCGATATGATTAGAATCTTTCCTTCCTACAAATATTTCACCTTCGGGGAGGAAAAGGTATTGATTTCGAGGTGAGCCTTCAATAATTTTTAAGCAAGCTTCCTCTTTTGTTACAGAATTATTTTTTCTATAATCAATTTTAATTTCAGGTACAACTTCGTCCATGTTTTGATGAGAAGAAAAGAGAATCTCCGTGTATTTAATATATTTGAAGTATGCATGGTGCAATTAATTAAATCTTCAAATCATTTATTCTGTTTGCTATTTTAGTATAAAGGCTAATCGTCTAATATAGGAAGACATTTATAGTATGATGGCTAATTTACATTAATCCATTCAAATGTATTATTTTGGATTATTCTAAAGAATTTTAAGTTGTATGACCATAACGATGTCTCGCTATCCCCCGAAGCTTGGTTGTGATGACGGAGTTCCAATGTTCAAGCTCCGCTTTGATTAATGATGTATATTATTACTAATCAAAAGTGGAGCCTGAATATTGGAACTCCGACGCGACAACTAAGTTTCGGAATTTTGACATAGACCCGGAATAGCGATGCATTGCTATAGCATAAATTACAAAGCCTATAGATTTATGCTAAAATAATTGAGATTCGCTCTAGACATTTAAAAATGTGCAAACCATTCTTTACTATTAAAATATATATAAAATAATCTGTTCATTATCCCAATCACTATCGTGATCACTAAATTCAAAAAATTTTAATAATTCAGTAATTAATTAGGGGAACGCCTATTTCCACCATTGAAATTTGCTATTTCCACCATACTTTTTATATGACTTTCAGTTACATAAACATGACGAACATATTGTCATGAAAAGTTACGTAAAATGGTGGAAATAGTAAATATTCATGGTGGAAATAGCGATAGGCGTTCCCATAATTCTATATCGATATAATTTGTGCATGTACCAATTAGATCGTAAGATCAGGTGTATCGTTACACGATCAGGAAAATTCAAAGCATTCATTTTGCCAAAAATCACTTATCGCTATGATAACTAGGGATGTAATTATACGGTATAATATATTTTTGGTATAATAACATGTGATTTAAAAATCAAAATTTCACATCTGTAGTCATAGTATTATTAATTAAATATGTATAACCAAATTTTATTAGTTTATCTATATTATACCAATATTATACAAATTATACCAAAAGTTAATGGTATAATAACGGATATTATACGGTATATTAACCAATGTTATTATACGGTATAGTAGTTTTCCCAACCCTAGTTATAACTTAAAATTTCGCATATGCAACTACCTTTCGGATTCTAACTCATAGGAGAACATTTGTCTGATTTGCTGATGGAAATCAATTGCCCGGGTAACTAATTTATACAATTTAAAGTACTTTTCAAGTTGCAACGTTTCATAATTTTACTCATAAACATACTTTTTTTTTATAATTGGGTGTTGCCCTTCGCTATACAAAATAATCACAAATAATCACAAAATAATCATAAAAACAAAGAACTTAGAAGCGAAGTTACTATGTGCATTATTACATTTTGCGATTAGTAAAACGTAAGTAAAACAGGTACACAAGTACTGATTGCAAAAAAATAATCGAGTAAAAAGAACGGTCAAGGTGTTTAAGATAAAGGTAGGATCCGGCTATTTAATGGGTATAAATGTACCATTTCACTAAGGGTACCAGCAACAGACTTCGCTTGTTGCTGGTAGTGTATTTTCTATATTAATTATACGTACAATTTCAGTTCTACGTAGTACCCTTAGTGAAATGTTACATTCATACCCATTAAATTGCCGGATCCATTCGGATCCTTTTTTGTGGAACACTATGCATAATAAACAATCCAGTTAAGTTTTTACAAGATATTGTTTCCTTAGTATGCAAATAACCAGTACCATAGTTTATATTTCTTTTCTTATAATAACAACCTGAAATAAAAAAAAAAGGACAAAATCATATTATAATAATTATAACAATAAAATTTCAAAATTAAGTACGTGTTTTATGTTTACACTTTTGT